GTCCTTAAAAAAAGGCAAACCCTGAGTTTCCATGTCCAACTTTGACTGTCTATCTTATATGAAAATTTTTTATAATTCGTATTTTCATTGTTGTTAGATGAGAAAACATGATTAATATTTTATGCGTGACTTGTCTTTTTAATTTTTTTCATAATTTTTTTAAATAAGACGGACGGTCAAACGTTGGGCACAGAAATTAGGGTTTGTCTTTTTTTTTTTTTTTGGGTGACGGAGGGAGTATGCAATAGTTTGTTACTTCGTAGACTGAGACCAATACACCGTAATTTTTTTCTCCAAATATGGATGTGTATGTGTATTAATTTCCATCCATAATTTAAAACTAATCCACAGAACCATCTACATACACAGGAAGAAATTAATCGATAGTTGAATCACCATGAAGCTCTACGCGTGTGAGAATATGTATAGCTCAGAACAGAACAGATACACATGCATACATATCGACCGATTCTTTTAGGAATCCTAAGCTTAACCATATTATTATGAGAATAAGCATTCAAATAATTCAGACACTATCACCTTCTCTGCTACAACCACTTATCTTTTCATTTGATGAGCTCTGCCGTATTATTTTAAATCTTTCTTAAAAGGACATGTAGTCTAGTGGTTGCAGTGACCTAAGTAGCACCCCAAGGTCCTGAGTTCAAATCTTTACAGAAGCGAAGTGCTGATTAAGTTATTTGAAGACTAAGTTCCTAGTTTGATAGGCTAAGATTCTAATATAAAATGCTGCATATATCCAGTTGGATGTAGAGGCCGAGTAAAATATACCGTTCTCTAAAAAAAAGTATTATTTTAGTTCAAATGACGGAGAAAAGTTTTGCAGGGTTCTCTGTTTTCTTTAATAATGGTTTGCAGCGTTTCTTTTTGGAGCGCTAATCTTCGTTCGTTCGTTCCTTCGTTGGAATCTTCCATTATTAAATAGGCTACTTGATCTTCTCTAGCTCGTACTCCATTAGGAAATACTCACTTGTCTCTATCCAGCCGAAATTAAACTGAATCAAAGCTAGTCAAACAAGTATATAGAACCGTGCAAACATTTGGCTAAGATACTTAAAGAAAGTTCTCCGAGAGGTTGCCACCAAAAAAACAAGAATACATGGCATGCTAAATCAATGGTCACTATCTCTACACAGAAAAGAAAGAGAGGAGATACTGCCGATGATATGGAAAGCTAGGTAGAAAATGCGGCATCGATGCTTGATCAGGGAGGGGGCGTACCTACGCGCCTTGCAAAGTTGGAATTCGGCGGTGTTGGCGGCATGGGAAGGCATCAGGGACTAAATGGAGGGTGGAATCCTCATCGTCGAGTACGTGTTTGGAGTGGGCGGGCTTGGCGCACCACCAATACTGCAAGCTTCGATCCCGATTGTGCGACCACATGCATGTGGAGCTTAGGTTCTATACTGCTGTGCCAGCGCCACACCTTTCTCCCAAGAGAGGACCCATGATCAGCCGTCACCGACCCGTCATCATGGAGGCCAAAGACGCGGCGGACGTCGACATCGATGCCGACGACTGCCACACATGCACCGATCGAGCGCCTCCGGTGCTACAACCGCGAGCTCATCGCCCGCGGCCATGACACCCATGCGTCGCGTCGTACTCCCGGCTCGCCAATGTCAACCTCCGCACCAACACGCTACCGTCCTCCTTGAGTTATCGACTTGTAGCAGCTCGCCACTACTCATCCTGCTATTCTACGTGTCGACGCTGCCAGTCTCAGACACGACACAGAATACACACCACAAAGCAAGAACTATGACGTCCATAGAAGAAGCTAGATCCAAAGCACATATAGCTAAATAACTACAGACTAAAGAAAGAATGGAAGTTTGATTTAAAGGAGGGACGATAAAACAACAAGAGAGTCTGGCCTAAATAGAGAAAGATAATGGAATTAAAGCGAGATAGAAATATAAGCACTAGGGTGTGTTCGGCAGCTAGGTTGCCAACACTAACTTTGCGCACGAAAAACGGAGCGGTCCATTAGCGCGTGATTAATTAAGTATTTGCTATTTTTTTTCAAAAATAGAATAATTTGATTTTTTTAAGCAACTTTCGTATAAAAACTTTTTGCAAAAAATACACCACCATTTAGTAGTTTGAAAAGCGTGCGCGTGAAAAAAGAGGGAGGGGTTAGGAAAATAGGGGGCCGAACACACCCAACCCAGAAGAAAAATACTAAGTATGAGAAACAGAAATATCGAGGGCAGCAACAAAACACATTGGTATATATTCAGTAACACCGTGTTTAGTTCCAAAGTTATTCTTCAAACTTCTAACTTTCCATTACATCACAACTTTCCTACACACAAACTTCCAACTTATTCGTCTAGTGGTGAAGCTAGAGCAAAATGGAGGGGGTTTGAGATTTTGCCACAAGTATATCAATATATATAACTTCAAGCTACATTTTCGATAGAACCATTGATTAATATTTTTTTACATCAACAGTAGAGACAGACATGCATCAATAAAATAAAAAAAGTGACAAACATTGTTTTTCAAAATTAAGAAATCCACTAATAACATTAATAATTGAGAATTGGTTACTAACCCATGAGCAAAAGATGATCTGCATATGCAAACATAAGCAAACACCGTTCTATTTCATTATCTCAAAATCCTCGACGATGATTTGATAACCTAAAACAAGTTAACATCAAAATCAGTTCTCATTTTTCAAATAAAAAGTAGAATCCAGCGCACTTAGATACAATCATTACCTATCATCATCAAATCTGCGTCCTTGCATTTTCATGAAGCGACGAACAACAGCCTCATTGGTGACTTTCTTCATTTCTTCTTTCTCCACATAACAAATAAGGCTATCACTTAAGTACTCATCACCAATTTTATTGCGCAAATATGTTTTCACATTCTTCATAGCTGAAAAGCACCTCTCAACTGTGGCAGTAGCGACGGGCAATACAAGTACAAGTTTTAAAAGTTGATAAACCAATGGATAACAAAGATGTTTTCTTGTCTCCTCCATTATTTGAGAAAGTTCGGCAATAGTTTGTATGTTGGAGAATCTACCATCATCCCTCACATCAGCGATGTAGAGACCAAGTTGGTGGCTAAGGTCCCTCAAATTTCCAGAATTAAAATCACTAGGATACAATTTTGCTAAACTCATCAAATTCTCTAGATTGAAATCATGAAATGAGTCTCTTGGACTAAAAGCCGATGAGCAAATAAGCAATTGAAAGCTTGTCTCACTGAAGTGATTGTCAAGCTCTTCAAGTATCCAATCAATAACATCATTAAAACAATCCACTTGATAGTAATGCTTGTTTGTAATTCCAGATTTGTGCCTATGCTTCTTGGGATCAATATATGTATCTTCCATTTCCAATTTGACAATATCATACTTGTCACAAAAGTCAGAGACTTCATCTAGAACTTTCTCCTACTTTTCTCTTCTAAGCTCATCCAAATTGAGCCTAGTTGACTTTACACATTTCATAGCATTCACTATGTCTTGATCCTTCCGTTGCAATGCTAGTGACAAGCTGTTGTGATTGTTAATATAGTCAACATGAGGTGCAAATAGAAGACAAAATCAAAAGATTGGAAGTACTCCAAAAGATTCGATGCTTGATCTCTAATTTTCTACTCATTTTTGTCATTTTGCACAATTTCTAGCGGTTTGACTATTGTAGCAAACATGCCAACCAAACGTTTTGAGCAGTTTTATAGTGGGAACTCCATCGAGTATCCCCAGGTCTCTGAAGACATTGCTCTTGATTCAACCCGGTTCCAATTTAAAGTTGCCCACAACCCAATGCCTTACTTATTTCTTTAACATTAATATCTCTAATCAAATCCCTTCTCTTAGATGATCCACCCACCACATTCAGTAAGATGGAAATCTTAGTAAAAAAATCACTAACGCCTTTATGTTTTCTCACAATAGCCACAGGAACCAATTGGAGTTGGTGATCAAAACAGTGAACATAATAAGCTGAACTATTTTCCCTCATGATCAATGATTGCAAACCATTGAACTCACTTCGCATATTGCTAGCACCGTCATATCCTTGCCCTCTAACTTGCTTTAGAGTTAGCTTCAGTTTTGCAAATAGAGCATCAATAGAAGACTTGAGATAGGCAGAAGTTGTTTCAGTCACATGGACAAGACCAACAAATCTCTCTCACACAATTCCATATTTATCAGCATATCTCAAGACCACTGCCATTTGTTCTTTGCAAGAAACATCTCTTGATTCATCAACTAGCAAGCAAAAAACATCATGCCCAATTTCTTCTAGAATAGCATGTAGCACTTCCTTTGCAAAACATTTCACAATATCCCTCTGTATTTCAGGAGCAACCAAAAGACTGTTATCTGATTTTTTTTTGTACCTATTGCCTTTCTTAAGGATGGGTTTTGCTCCGCTGTGTAATCACGAAATTCCCTGAAGTTGCCTCTGTTGTTGGACTCCTTTGACTCATCGTAACCTAGGAAAGGCAATCCTAGCTTTACTAGCATCCTAGCAACATCAATGGATCCATTCAACCGAGTAAGATAGTCCCTCTTACAAGTTTCTCTCACACTATGAAAAGCTACATCAATGTGCTGTCTTTTTTGTAATAAATCATCACACTTCTTCATTGCTTGATAGTGTGAACCACCGACATCACCTACATGCAATTTCAACCTTTCTTTTCTATGAAAACCATTCCAACCATTTTTAACAGATGCTTCATATCCACCATCCTTCTTTTCTCTAATCAAGAAACAGAAAATACAATATGCTCGATTTTTGGACTCACTGTATTCAAGCCAACATTCCAAACTCATCAAACCATTCCGGAACAAACCTTCTTGAACTTGTCATAGGAAAAGCCAATGTGCGAGGTTGACAAGGGCCATTCATCCAAGCTATTTGCCTTCATCACCACTCATCTCTTGCAGATTCAGGCATGGTACTGCATCCAATTGTGTTTTCTTCAATCCATGGTATCATACTGTAATCTCTATCTTCCTCAGTTTATATCATCCAAACATGAATTACATGCATTGTTAGCACTATTCGGCTCTGGCACTTTCCTTTTGTAAAATCGTTCCATCAATTAACCTATCATTAGATGATTCAGGAGGATGTAAATATATACTGATTTTATCATTCATTCAAGTACAGAAGTAGAATGAAAATTGATATGACTCACATCCAAATAGCACCTTCAACTCAATTCTCAAATTTTCCCCCAATCTGCAATTTTATTCCAATTATGAAGGATTCCAAATTGAACCCTACTGGCCTCCTAATTCTACAATGTAAAAAAAACAACCAATAAAAATTTTAGGCCTTTGTATCTAATAAATCAAATTGATTAAAAAAGAAATAGATGAAGCATGCTTTCTTACCTTGTCTCTACTAACGCACAATGTGGCTGATTGCAGAGCAGCGGCATGGAAGCCAAACAGACGCGAGGCGGAGTCGTCAAGAATGGCGGCGACGGGACGCGGCATACGAGAAGTCGAGAAGAGAAAAGATTGATCTGGATTCGACTCTCCTCATGGGCTTACAACGTTAATAATTGTTGTTTGGGCTGTGGGTGCACTATATTGGGCCGAGGGGGTGCATATAGGGCCGAGATATGGGGGTAATAACTAAAATTTTTTTTAGAGGGGTTTCATCTGCACCCACGGGCCTCTATTGGGCTTCGCCTCTGTTATCTGTCACATCATTCCAATTTCAATCAAACTTTTAATTTTAGTGTGAACTAAGCACAGCCTTAAGTCACGTAAAAAAAACCTACAGAGAGACACGTGAGTGTGCGTGGGAGCACGTGGAATACGCATGCAGCCTTGAGGCAGCGCATGCCAGCACAAGGCAAGCATATAGCTGTGCACGCTTGCTCACACGCTAGCTTGCTCACAAGTCACAACTGGGCACGCTTGCTCACAGCAGCGATCACAAAAAAAAAGGACGAACCAAAAACACAAACTACGAATCAGAAAACAACATGTGTAGATGGAACCGGCTGAGCAGAAAACAATACAAACAAACGAAAGAAATCACTGGCACGTACGCGGAGAGCGTCCATGAGGCATAATCACCGGATACGTCGCCTGAATTAAGAAACCAACCGGTCACCCAACAAAAATAAAATCTCAGAGATAATCAGCAGAACACGTGGCAAGCAGCAGAATGGTCAGAAAAAAAATTCAAAAAACTGGAAAAATCAGAACCTGATCGGTGACTACTAGGTAAGTATATCTTCCAGTTACCAGATCTGAGCCATTTGATTTGGATCCAATGGAGCTAAATATTACAGGTAGTTCTTTCACTATCTAGATTCATATTACAAACCCTTTTGTTTTACAACCATACTAAAAAAATGTTGTACATGATTAAATATTCAATTATACTCCATCACTAATAAAATGTTAAAAAATATATATTGTTTCAGTTTTCTGCAAAGTTAAAAATTCTCAAATTTGACGAAATTTACAGGAAGTGCACCAATATCTACAACATCAAATCAAATTAGTTTCATTAACATCATTGAAGGAAAAAAATGTTTCGATAGTTTATTTATTTGGCATTATAGATGTTAATTATTTTTTATAAAGTTAGTCAAAGTAGGGGGACTTTGAATTAGGATAAAACTGAAACACAATGGTGTGACAACGTCGACAAGGTAAGCGTCAAGTTCAGGTGACAAGTGGCTTGAGTCATTTGTTCGATTTTGCATTTTTTTCTACTCCCTCCGTTTCATAATGTAAGTCATTCTAGTATTTCCCATATTCATATTGATGCTAATGAATCTAGACTAGCATCAATATGAATATGAGAAATACTAGAATTACTTACATTGTGAAACGGAGGAAGTAGTATTTTATAACATTCTATATCCGATCATGACAATGGATTTTAATGCTTCTAGACCCGTGAACGAGATAACTAATGGAGTAACAATACTAGTTGGAACCGCCACAAGCATGGTTCGTAATAGGGGTAGTATCACCGAACGTCCTTGTTATGAATCACCGCTTAGTATACTGTTAGTAATGATTCTGTGGTGGTTTGTGCCTATAACCAACAATGATATTCTTTATATTACATTATTAAGTTTTCTAATAAGTAATCGTGCAATTAGGAATTAAATAATTAAATAAAATAAGCAACAATTAAAAAGGTTGATAACAAGGTACGATTAAGTGCAAGAACTTACAAATTGAATTGAATATTCCAGTATAACAACTTGGCTAGCTAGTTGCATCCTAGTCCAAAAAGTTACCACATAAGAAAGTTTGGCATGACTACCTCCGAAAAATATTTGAAAATATACTTTATTTTTAGCGTTTTTACAGTTATATACATGCTTTTGAAAAATTTGCAAAAATATATGCGTCGGGCTGTTTGGCGCAAAGTGAATGTGCGGGACCATTAGCACATACAATCCCGCATTGTGGACGAATCGTACCGCATCGTTCCCACGGCTTGGCCGTGCGGCACCGTGTGGTATCGCATCGCCATCTCAGGGAATTGTGCGGCGCCGCACAACCAGCCTGTGGTCTCGGTCCCACGTTTTTGCATCGCGCCAAACACTCAGTTCCGCGTTTTTGCTTTTCACCCCCACGATACGGATATATTTTCGTATTTCTTTTGAAATCATGTATATAATTAGAAAAAGTTAGAAATAATGTATATTTTCAAAAAAAAAAATCGACAACCTCCCGCCTAGCTGGTGTGGAACTCTCGGCTAGCTAGGTGGACGGCTGATGTATCAAAATTTAATGGGTGGCAACATTTTAGACTACAAATGCACTCACCTATGTACCAATATGTGTTGAATTTTCAGGTTTCAGCCAAGTTCTTGGATCACTGTCCCAATTACTCTAATTAATTAATGCTAAAAATTGTACACTGTATGGAAACCCAATAATAAATATTCATATGGTCTCAGGGGTGGATCTACAGTATAATGACCGGTGTCAGACGACACCGACGACTTTTGGCAAAACTTATAGCGAAACTATTTATCCATATATTATAACACTATGATCTAAGCATAATTAGCATACTATGACACCAATAGACACGTTATGACACCAACAAATCAATCTGGATCCGCCACAGTTGGTCTAATTAATTAATCCTAACTGATTTGTTGTTTGGGGAGTCTTATTTTTATTTTTTATGAAACAGTTTTTAAATTAACAGTTAGCATATATAAAGTTATACTTTGAAGCCTCGATTTTGGTTTTCAAAATTTAATGATTGTAAAATTTTCACGATTTTGGTTCTCAAAATTTAATGATTGTAAAATTTTCAAGGGAGGGAACCATGGACGGCTGGAACTGCGAATTTTGAGCTCAAGATTAAATAACTGGTGGGCCAACGACGTGTTGGTCAGTTAGGATTACCGGGTGTTACACGATATACAACACGGCAATCATAACGTGCCGTTACACCTTTCGCTATATTCCCGTTCCCGCCCCTGCTGAACCGTTCCCGCCTCCCACCAAATATTGTTCGCGCCAACGAAATCAGTTTTTTGGACGGATGGCGCCTGAAATTCCGTAGCTTGATGGCAGAACACTCCGTAATCCTTTTATAATTGCGTAGTGTCCTAGTGTGACAAATGAACGCCCGGTAACGTTTTCAGTTACCTGGTGTTCCTTTCATACCCTACGTAACTTACCCAGTGCTAACACTACTACAGAAAGCGTTTTTGCATACGGGCGGAATCGATCTTCACATGCGGTTGGCCGGCCCGCATGCGCGAAATGGTATGCAAAGATCACCATTTGCGCATGCGGCCATCGCAGCCGCATGCGAAGACACTTAAGATGGCCGCATGCGAAAATAGATCTTCGCATGCGGTCTATATAAGAAGCCGCATGCGAAGATATATTTTCCCATGCGGTCGACCTAAGAAGACCGCATGCGAAGATCTATTTTCGCATGCGGGCGTCTTAAGTAGACCGCATGCGAAATTCAATTTCCGAATAGCTAAAATAATATTTATTCTAGCATTTTGGTGATTCGTAATTAATATTAAATTATTGAGGGATTTATTATCGTATTTCGGAGTAGTAAGCAAATAAGATAAGACAAGTGCCGCAGTAACAAACATGTAATACATAACCATTAATTCAATCGTAATTTACATACAAATATATAATAGCAAGTGGCACAGTTTTTTCATCATGTTATTGCATATGTATAAGTAGTGTACATGTTATTGCATATGTTCTTTCTCCCACTCTCTGAGAGGTTTAAATTTGTCGTCCATTGCGAGTTCACTCTGGTTGTCGTAGAAGAGACCTCTTGCGTTGCAGACATCGCGACGGATGAATCGGCAGAGGTCAGCGGCCACGTTCAAGATAGTAGTGTCGTTGAATCGTTGTGCAATATATGGGATTTCGGGGATCTGCACACAGAAAGGAAAATAAAATGGTACTCAGTGAGAAGTGTGTGCGAGATGGGTTTCTTTGTAGAGAAGAGTTCGATGACCTACTCGGTTACTGGTTGTTTTGTACCTCCCATTTACTCTGAGCATCTCGCACACGTAATAACCACACAAGTTGGTTCCTGGTGGTTGTTTGTAGCACTGCGATATAATTATGGGGACCGATCTCAGTAGATATATTTAGTATATATGTACTGTTTGATAATTAGTTGTATTGGTATAAATTTGATAGTACCGGCCAGCCAGTCCTGACGGATAACTTCTTCTGGGATGGAATATGTACTGGTCCACCTCTTTTGCGGTAGTACTTGTGTGCTCTGTTTGAAGGAAACAATTGTTTTATTAGTAGTTAGAAGACTGGTGATCGACCTAAACAATTTATAGTAATGAAATGTTTATCACTTACAAATTCAAAATAGTGAGGAATTCCATAAATGTCTCCTTGTCATAGTGTGCGGGGTCCAATGATATGATCAATTGGTCTTTCGGATATACAAGGAATAATATGTAGTGGTCTCTACATATAAGATAGGCTTATTGGAGACAGAAAATTCCGAAGAAGATAAATTAATTAAACAAAAAGAAGAGAGAGCTTACGTGAACTGGTAGGGGACCATTAAGACATCTTTGTCGGCGTGCGCCATCATTGCTATTGCCAAGTATGTTGCTACTTCTAGCTTCTTCCTCTTGTGCAATGTCTTCACATATTCTTCCTTTTCTTCCGGGGTCTTGCCAACCAATTGCTCGCAGTCCTCTCTCAGCTCTACGGTATGTTGTGTTTTGCATATTCTTGTTGGATCGACGTATCCAACCTTTGCTCCAGTTCTATCAGCTTCGTGGAATTGCATACTGTACAATGAATAAAGAAGAAATGAGATTTGGTTTATTTGTTTCGAATGAAACGTGCAACATGTAATAAAGAGTTCAGACTTACAGACAGAAAGCCGCAACGAGATTAACGTCCATTTTATCTAGCTTGTAGAGGGCGTAAAGGTCTTGGAAAGAGATAAAAAATATCCCATTAGGACCACTCATGAAAGCGCCTTCCGGGACGGCGACGCTTATGAAACCGAGACCTTTCCTAGATGCCTTCATATACCATTCGTGCATTACCCTC